TAGGTTCTACCCAAAACCCCCAATTTCACCCATGAAAATCTTTGATTTTAAGTTGAAAACATGTTAAATGATGTTAAAGATTGAAAGAAATGAGTAAAAATCAACTTACAAATGATTTGGAAGAAGTCTTGTTCTTGGAAAATCGCCTAAGGAGTTGTGTTTTGAAAATGGGGTGAAAAATGGTTCAAAATTCGACTAAGTATAAAAATATGCAGGTCGCAGATGTGGGAAATGCGAACTTGGGTTCGCAAAGAATTCCCCCAGATTTCGCATTTGCGAACTATATCTCGCATTTGCGACCTTAAGTGGAAAAAAGGGAGGTTCGCATTTGCGAGCAAAAGAGTCGCATTTGCGACCTGCTCGACTTCGCATTTGCGGACTATTTGGTCGCATTTGCGACCCCAACTGCTGACTCCCTCTTCTCGCATTTGCGATGCCAGGCTTGCATTTGCGAGACCTGCTTCGCAAATGCGAAAGTTGTAGAACTGAAAACACCAGATTTTTCAAAAATGCAAAAATGCAATCCGACACCTATCCAAAACTCACCCGAGCCCCCGGGGCTCCAAACCAAATATGCGCACAACCTCAAAAACATCCTATGGACTTATCCGTGCGATCAAATCGCCAAAATAACATCAAAATAATGAATCAAACCTCAAATCACTAGTTTTTCTTCAAATTTCATCAACTTTCAAATTTAGAGTTTTAAGTCCGAAACACGTCAAACGACGCCCGTTTTCAACCAAACTTTACAGAAAGTGCTTAAACCACATATAAGACTTGTGCTGGGCGCCGGAACCAAAATACGGGCCCGATACCATAGTCTTTTAATCAAATTTCATTTTCAATTTCCTTAATTATTTCCAGAAAATAATTTCACACAAAAATTTATTTCTCGGGCTTGGGACCTCGGAATTCGATTTCGGGCATACGCCCAAGTCCCATATTTTCCTACGGACCCTCCGGGACCGTCAATCACGGGTCCAGGTTCATTTGCCCAAAATGTTGACCGAAGTCAAATTTATTCATATTAATATCAAAAATTTGTATTTTTCACACAGAATTCATATTTAAGCTTTCCGGCTACGCGCCCGGACTGCGCACGCAAATCGAAGCAACCCTAAATGGGGTTTTCAAGGCCTCGGAAGTATAGAATGGGTAAGAAAACAGGTGATGACCCCTTTGGGTCGTCACACTATTGCGCCTTGGCAATCACAATTCATCGACATAATTATTGTCGGTTTAACTCACCAAGAGGTTGCTTAATCAACCTCATCGCCAAATAATTCCAATATCATAACACCCCATCAAAAGATGATCACACAATCACTAGTGAGTTTTTCACATCTGAATCAGAGATTCAATATCATCACTGTATCCTTCTAATACAGTGGAAAATCCACACATAGAATACTAACTCATAGTATTTCTCAAGATCATCTCAAATGAAATGGAACTTGACTTATGTACAAGTACCTTTTGAAACATCTTTCAACACATAAGGATTTATTTTCTTTCTCAATCTTCCATAGTCAAGTACCAAAGTAAAATTTTCTAAATATAGAAACAGTTTTAACTTCAACAAAAATATCTAGTAAGAAAGGGGTCTTAATTCAACGATTTCTTCACCCAAATGACTAAGAGACGCGAAGCAGCATAACTTTTCAAAGCCAGACATATAACATGTTTTTGATATTCCAATACAAATTTTTGCCACAAAAAATCTCAAATTTGTAAGCTTTATTATAACATTAACAAATAATTTTTTCCTCACATTTTTCCTTCTTAAGATCATGCTATATAACTCTGGACACCATGGTCCCCCACATTTTCAAAAATTTCAGATTAAGGAGATTACCTTTTCACAACTCATAAAGAGTTCTACTTTATAAATAACAAGCTAATATATAGCTTCACCTCGAAGATTATCGTATGGACCAATACACATGTAATTTATCAATTAATTAAAAAGTCCCAATATCTTAAGTAATAAAAGTAAAATAAATATTTAAATCTAGTACATCATCGCAAGAAGAATCAAACCATTTAATCTTATGTGCTTTTCCAATTTTCCTTCACCTCAATTTCCAATTACATAAATAGAATTAACCCTCCAACAGACAGAACATTTATCTAGGAATTTTTTTTTCGAAGCACGTTGTCTTGATAAAGGTTTGGATAAAAATTGTTCATGTGATTTCAAAAAAAATGAAAGTACTTCAATTAAAAATTTGTCAAACTTGGCATAGTAAGTTTCGTCAATTTTTTCTGTGGAAGAGATTCGTCATTAACCCACTTTTTTCTATTAGATGGTTACCACTTTTCAATGTAATTCTTAATTAACAATAATAATCAAAAGTTTTTGAGAGCTTTAAGGAAAAAAAGTGATTTCTTAAATAAATATAATTTTGTACCCCTGATTGAATTACATAACTATATAAAATCTACACTTACGTAGGCTTAGGCACATTCAAATACTAGAAAAAAGCATACCTTAATTTTTGTTGTGCATTTTGTCCTCCACAATGAAACAATGTATAAAATTGAAGCAGCAACTTGCGAAAAGTGTATTCCAAAGTAGAACCAGGAAAAACGACATACAATAATATTATTTATTCACATCGTCTAGTACTCTCGAGATTCTAGAATTGATGGAGAATGCTTATGTTTCTTTCGCGTTGGCCAGTTTGAGTAGCATGTAACGACCATTACAATTGATATTCTCCATAAACACAGTGCAAAAATATCCTTAAGATTGTTGGAAAAATATTGGATGATTATGGAGAATAGAAGGTTTAGCTTGAGGCGTGTCAAAGACACTGTCCTTAAGGATATTTCGCCTACACCGTAATGGATAAAATTAGGCGTATCCCCCAAGATTCAACAAGCTCTTCTAGTATAAACTAGGAGCAGAAACAACAAAGATTAAATAAAAGAAAACCCAACACAAAAGAAAAGGGAAGAAAAGTTTTAACTTTGTTCACTCTCCTACCCAAAGAATATATATATATATATATATATATATATATATATATATAATCCAAAGATTTTAACTTCAGATTGTAAGCAACGTTTTGAAAATTATTAAATATCATTCAAAGGCTATTGAAATGGCTGTTACAAATTAAAGTCATTAAGGCTAATAAAAAGTTAGTTATAATATTATAATAATGACTATTAATCATGGGTAGTAAATAATAATAAATATGTTATTTTTTATTTTTGAGATATAAGAATTATCTTCTAACAACATTAACTTTGAAAATCAAATATCCGTATAAAAATAACTATTGAAGTTCTGTGTATTAACCTAACAACAACTGAAAATACTTATGATTCCTAATAACCTAGAAATTTATGGAGTAATTTATATGAAGTTATTAATTACCACCGAAATAAAGTTGATTGACGAGTATAATCTATCTATTTATATCTATAGTATTTTAAGATTATAAAATTCTAACATGAATGTTGATCGACTTTTTTTACTCTTACTAATGCTTTTTATGTTGGATAAATTATAAATATAATTAATAATTTATATTGTTTGCAGTACAAAAAAAATTAGAATTTTGAGGACTTTTATAGGGAGAGCTTCTTCCTTCATTGAGGTAATTGAATAGGATTGCCAAATCATCATTTTCATGATTTTATATTTTTTGTTTACCTTTATTATGTAAATCAAATGCTAATTTTAAAATAATATTTATGTTAGTTTTTAAGAAAATTATACTTCTTGAGATGAAATACACGCACAAAGCGCGTACCCTAAGACTAGTTTTAACTAATTTAAAAGAAATTTAATTAGCAATCTGAAAAGTGGCTATACATCAATTTCTTCCTATTTTCACCAAGCACAATGCAAAGCTACAATTGGGCCGAAATAAGGAGCCGGTATTGTTTTAAAAGAATTAACCTAAAGAGCCATTCGCTTAATCGCTTAAATTAAAAGTAGCTAGGGATATATAATATGTGTCATGTATAATATATGCATAATCATGTATAAACAGGTATAATCCATGCGTATCAGCTAAAAAAATAAATAGTGAATTTAGTTGGCTATTTGTATAAAGATCCCGCTCCCTCTGGGGTAGGGGTAAGGTGTGCGTACATTGTACCCTCCCCATCCCCACTGGTGAAATTCTACTTGGTTGTTATTGTTGTTGTATTTGTGTAAAGGTCCGGTTTAGAAGAATGGTTTGATTTCCATTTTCCTTTTGTAGTTTATGAATATGATTTATATGGGCTCTCTACTCAACTGGGCCTTACCCATTTCACTTGATCAATGATAAAAATCTCTATGATGGACATTGTAAGCATTTAAACTGTGACGACCCGGCCAGTCGTCTCATGAGTTACCACTCCGTTTCTCCCATTTCTGCTTCTTTATGCTTCATTATCCGTGTTTTATGTGATCGATTTGATTAGTTTGTGTTCGGAGAGGATTTGCTAAGATATGAGACACTTAGTCTCTTTTAAGAAGGCTTATGTTGGAAAAGTCAACAGGATGTTGACTTAGGTGTTAGAGGGCTCGGATGTGAGTTTCGATGGTTCGTTTAGCTTCGGGAGGTGATTTGTGACTTAGGAGCGTGATCGGAATTGGTTTTGGAGGTCCAGAGTAGAATTAGGCTTGAATTGACGAAGTTGAGATATTGGCGATTTTCGGTTGATAGGTGAGATTTTGATATAAAGGTCGGAATGGAATTCCGAGAGTTGCAGTAGCTTCATTATGTCATTTGGGATGTGTATGCAAATTTTCAGGTCATTCGGATGTGGTTTGGTTGGGTTTTTGATCGAAAGCGTATTTCGGAAGTTTTTAGAAAACTTAAGCTTGAATTCGATGTGAATTGGTGGACTTGATATTGTTTGAGGTGTTTTGATGATTGGAACAAGTTTGAATAAGGTTTTAGTATGTGTTGGTGCTTTTGGTTGAGGTCCCGGGGGCCTCGGGTGTGTTTCGGGTGGCCAATCGGACCATTTTGGTTTTTGGAAAATTGCAGATTTTGTTCCAGCAGTTGCAGGCATTTTTGGCCTCCGCGTTCGCGAAGGGCCGGGTTTTCGTAAGCTTCGCGTTCGTGAGGGTCAAAGACGCGTTCACGAAGGCTTGTGAGGGGATTGCATCGCGTTCGCGAGTGAGTATACGCGATTGCGAAGGAGGTTTGGGTCTGAGGGGTCCGATGTCAGTTATTCATCGCGTTCGCATAGGAGCGGACGCGTTCGCGAAGGTCAAGCCGGAAGAAGCATCACGTTCGCGACTGGCATGTCGCGTTCACGTAAGGTAAAAGTTGGTCAACTTAAATTTGTGCATCGCGATCGCGAGGCGTTGACCGCGATCGCGTAGAAGGAAGGGTCAGACCTGGGCAGAATGTTTTTAAGTTATTTCATCCGCGATTTTGGGGCTCATTTACTCCATTATTGATCTTTTTGATAGCTCTTTGAAGGAAACTAAAGAGGGATTCAAGGGCAATCGATTGGAGGTAAGATTTATGAACTTAAAACTCGTTTCTATTGTGAAATCTACCTAGAAAATTAGGGATCTTAAGCTAAAAATGGAAGAACTAGGGCTTGGAATTTTGGGATTTTGATTTGGGGATTTGAAGGACCAATTGGGGTCGGATTTGAGAACTTTTGGTATGTATGAACTCGTGGGGAGATAAGGAATCTAATGATGTGAAAAATTCTGCATTTCGAAAAGTGGGCCCGGGGCTCGGGTTTTGGTAATTTCGAGATTTGTGCCCGTTATTGATTGTTTTCGCTTGGGCTTCGTTCCCTTAGCATATTGTGATGTATTCGTTCTGATTTTGGATAGATTCGACGCGCGTGGAGGCTGATTCGAGGGGCAAAGGCATCGCGAGCTAGAGATTTAGCCGGTTCGAGGTGAGTAATGATTTTAAATGATGTTCTGAGGGTTCGAAACCCCGGATTGCACATCGTAGTGCTATATTGAGGTGAGAAATGCGCTTGATGATGAGCGTGGGGTCGTTTACTATTGGGGATTGTGACTTGGTCCGTCCCGCTTGATGATTTTACCGCGTATTTGACTGAAACTTATTTGTTATCATCATGATTTGGGCTGATTTCCATATTTGGGCTTCGTGCCAACTATTTAAACCCTTCGGGGATTTTTATCACTATTTCCTCACTGTATTGACTTATTACTTGAACTCAGTCATGCTGTTTTCCACTGTTTTACAACTCAGCCACTTTTACTCAGTTTTGAGACTTAAATGATATTTTCAAATGATGTTTTGGGCTGAGAACTATTATTTTACTAATGCCCGAGGGGCTTGTGATGATTTTCGGACTGAGTGCGGACGAGGGCCAGATGTGAGATACACTGAGTGATATGAGGCCGAGGGCCTGAGATACATATATACGCCACGAGGTGGCTTGAGTGATGTAAGGCCGAGAGCCGAGAGTTGATGCCATGAGATGGCTTGATATTGCGCTTGGGCCGTAAGGAGCCCCTCCTGGAGTCTATACACCCCCAGTGAGCGCGGGTACCCATATTGATCTGAGAGTGAGCGTCGGTACCCATATTGATCTGAGAGTGAGCCCGAGGGGCTAATATTGTTCTGAGAGTGAGCCCGAGGGACTGATATTGTTCTAAGAGTGAGCCCGAGGGGCTGGTATTGTTCTGAGATATTGCCCGAGGGGCGAACCTTTATATGTTTATTTTTTTATATTTACTTACCATTCTTAGCTGATAAACTACGGTTCTGTGCCCGAGGGGCGGATTTCTGTGCTTATCTGCACTAACTGTTTTTGCATTCATTTGCGTAATTGTTGAAAAGGCTATTTTCAAAGAAGTTTAAACTGAGTTAAGATGTTTTGAGAGATTTCACAGCTTCATTGGTTTCCTAAAGGATTTTATTCTGCTTCTATACAACATGTTGATTTGCTTTATGTGATTTCTTACTGCTCAGTTGTTATTTACCTTTATTACTCACTGAGTTGGAGTACTCACTTTACTCCCTGCACCTTGTGTGCAGATTCAGGTATTTATACACCCGGCAGCGGGTTTTGACTGATCGGAGGCAGAGTCATTGGAGTTTAGCAAGGTGGTTGCCGGAGTCCGCAGCACTGCTTTTCTTCCTCTTTATTTCATTTATTTGTACTCAGTACATTCAGACTTGTCAGTTGTAATTAGACCTCTAGTAGATGCTCGTGACTTGTGACACCCCGGTATCGGGTTGTGTTTGGGCTATATTCCGCATATTATAAAAATCTTTTGCTTAGTTCGTGGTTATCTACTCATACTTAGACTGTTTATTAATATTTAACTATTTTGAAAAGGCGTAATGGGTTAGTTGGCTGGCCTTGTCTTCACGAGAGGCGCCATCACGACCGGATCGGGGTTTGGGTAGTGACATAAACTTTATCGAATTTAAATTTATAAAATAATTTGGACCATATTAAATTCAAGACATTAGTCCAAACATATATTGTAGCTAATAAATTGGGTTAATTATTTAAATTCAGAATAAAAGTGTTGGGCTAGTACATTTAATTGGATCACAAATTAAATAATGATGAGATTTTTATATGCTTGATCCCTTTTGAACTATTATTTAAATAAATAGTAGCATTTCTCGTTTATTCCACAAAAAACACTTTTTTTAAATTTGTAGCAGATTATAAAAATTAGTCTCAATATTTAATAAATTAACGGATTGCACTAATCAAGGGAACTACCTTTTTTTCTTACTTTCTCTCTCTCCGTATTTTTAGGTTCCGTATCTCCATCAACGTATCTCGCTGATGGAGCCTTCATATACTCTGGATATTTCTGCTTCTCCTATTTATCATTCACTAATTAACGCTTTCGATAATTTTCACACGGATTTATGGGTATTACGATCAATTTTCTTTATGGCGGCGATAATTTTGATATGGAATCGTGCCATAATATCATACAAATTAACTCATAAATCTCTTATTGATCCATATAAATATCCGATTACTTCTTCGTTTTCTCTCTTTAAGGTAAGAAAACCCTAGAATCTGTATGTTTAATTCATTTTTACATCAGTTTTTATGAATAATTTAATCTTAGGCCTTCATTTTTTCCCCCGCAAAATTTGCAACAATGGAGAAGTCAAAACAACCACAACAAAATGTTTTGAACAATTATTTGGGCAGAGGATTGAAATTGGATGTCTCGGCTGTCAAGGCTATCAGGGATACCTACTGTGATTCTCCTTCAGGAAGTAGTGAAAATGCTTTACCACTTTCTCGTACCAGATTTGAGTTGTTGTATGAAACTCCTGAAAGGTATGCAAACCAAAGGCGTCCGCAAATGGGGAGTTCAATTGGGGAGATTAGGGAGCAAAGGGTGGAAGGTCTGACAACTATTTCTAAAGTACCTTCCCATTCTACTCCCAAAATTTATAATCAAGTTGCAAATGAGAAGAAACGAGCAAAAGGGATTGAGGATGAATTTCAGGATATACAATTTCAGTTAGTGAAACACAAAAAAAAAAAAAAAAGGTTGATGGGGCAGATAGCAAATTTGAAGGTATTGTATGTTTGTATTTAAGATTATCCCAACATCAGTTATACTTGTAATTTTTATCAGTTGTAGTTGCTTTTTTAATTTATTTTTATAAGGTATAAATATCAAAATAAACTATTAAGTCAAAATTAGGACTCATTCTTATGAGTTAAAAATATATTTTGTGTAGATTTGGGATTTTTATTTCAAACCGGAAGATCATTCTAAAGTAAAGATTGCAGCCAACAGTAATATTAGCGTGATTGAAAATTTGAGGAAGCAGTTGTAACGACCCGACTGGTCGTTTTGAGCAATTGCGTCTGGTTCGGCAGTTTGAGATCACGAGCAGCTTCATATTATCTGTATCGACTTGCGTGCGTGGTTGGATTTTGTTTTCGTATTAATCGGAGTCGAATTGGAAGAAGGAATCTAGTTTTGGAAGCTTAAGCGATGAGAGTTTGACCGGAATTAGACTTTTAAGTAAACGGCCTCGGAATGAGTTTTGGATGATGTCAGTAGCTTCGTATGGAGATTTTGGACTTGGGCGTGCGTTCGGATTTGAATTTGGAGGCCCGTAGGATAATTGGAGGCATTTCGGTGAACGTTGGAAAATAGAAGATTTTTGGAAAAGTTTGAACCCGAGATGGATTTGGTGTTGTTTTGAGTAATTCGAAGGCTCGACTAAATTTTAATGATGTTATGGGATGTGTTGGTACATTTGGTTGAGGTCCCGGGGCCTCGATTGTGTTTCGGGTGAGTTTTGAGCAAGTACGGACATTCCGGAACTTAGAAAATGGATCTGATGCTTAAATCTTCGCTGGGGGCAGAAGTATTACCGCTGAGGCGGAAGTTTTTCCACTGAGGCGGAGGTCTTACCGCTGAGGCGGAGGTTTTTCCGCGGTTCGCGGTCATGAAGAATCCGCAGGTCGTTGGTCCAACTTCGGAAGCTTATATCTTTTGATCTACAAGGAATTTTGAGATGATTCAAAAACGAAAGTTGTAGCTCTTTGAATCTAGTTTTCAGAAACATATTATAACAGGCATTTGGACATCTGTAGCGAAAGTTATGGCCAAAACACTAAAGCTTGTCACTGCAGTCAACATCCACCGCGGTCAGCAGCGATTTTCCGCGGTCAGCGGTGTGGGAATCCGGAAGGTGCATTATAAACACGAGATTTGGGGTTTTTAATTCATATTTGGACCTAGGGAGCTCGGTTTGTGGCGATTTTTCGAAGATTTTTCAAGAAATTCATTGGGATTGAGCTGAGCGTTGGTGAATTGGTAAAGGAAAAGCTAAATTGAGTATTAAATTGGCCGGATTGAGGTAAGTATCTTGCCTAACCTTGTGTGGGGGAATTTTCCCTTAGGCATTGAGTCTTATGTGGAAATTGTTTGAATGAAAAATCATGCACGCGAGCTGACGAGTACGTACTTGATTTATATGTGCAAATTACGCCTGCTGAAAGTTGTAGACACCCTTAAGAATTAAATTGAAAAATTGTGGAAACTTAGTAAATCCTTGAATTGTCATGCCTCAGTGTTTGTTTTGTTGAATTTGTATTTATAAGAGAATTCGGTGTGATTGCGACTTGGAAATTTATGTGAATTTCGTGTGATTGTTGATTTGATATTTCTCGGAAATAATTATATTATGGATTTTTTCGTGTGCAAATAATTAAATAAGGTAAGGAGAGGCATTAATATAATTATCGAAAATTTGGATTAAAGAAGGTGTCGTCCTATGATGAATTATTTTTCCATCCTTGTTGTTGTTTTGAAGTTTTGTATACCTTGTGTGGAGCCTTGGGCTTTTCGTTGTGAAATTAATTGATTTTGTTGTATCTTTGGAAGTGATTGTGGCTTATGGACAATTTATGATATGAATTGTTGTATGGTGTTGTTGTGATAATATTCTGTGTCAATTATTGTGTAATTTGAGTTATTATTATGAGGACATAAGGGAGGCATTCCATTGTTGATATTACGTGGATATAAGGGTGGCATTTCACTGTGGTTATGTATGTTGGGATATTGTCTGGCGGAGTGATAAGGGTGGCTATTATACGGAGCGATAAGGGAGGCTATTATACGGAGCGATAAGGGAGGCTATTATAGGAGCGATAAGGGTGGCTATTGGAGAGATAAGGGTGGCTATTGTCAGGGATGATATGTGATGATGTGGGGTATTGTGTTGGTAATTATTATGTGCTGATGAAGGGATATTGTGCTAGTAATATTTATGTTGTGTTGTGAATTTCTTGTGAGTTCTTTTACATATTGTGCAATTTATTTTATAAATTTAGTAAATTTGATAATAGTCAGATATATATGTTGAAATTATGAGCCTGTGAATATTGTCGGGCGGATTATGATATGGGCACGAGGTGCCGGGGAAATATAATGAATTTATATTGGCACGTGAGTTGTCCGTGCGGTTGTGATAGAAATATTGGCACGAGGTGCTGTGGAAATATGAAAATGGGCTGAGACTCGTGTTTTATGATTTGAAATGAGGTGTCACATGGTGACTTTTATTTGAAAGAATTATATTCGAAAAATATTATTTGAAAGAATTTTTATTCGAAAGATATTTATTTGGAAGAATTATATTAGGGAGATATTTGTTAAAAGAATTATATCGGGAAGATATTTGTTTAAAAGAATTATATTAGAAAGATATTTATTTGAAGGAAGTGTATTTGAAATATATTTATCAGAAAACATTATATCCTAAAGATTATTATTTGAAAGATGTATAGGCGAAAGAATTATATTTGAAGGACTTGATTAATTGATTGCACTTGTATTCATTATTCGTTGAGCAATATTTATGGTATTCTTATTGCCTTGCCGTTTATATCACTGGTTGATTATTGTTGCCATTATCGTTATTTGTTTTTTTTTATTTTTGTATGCTATATTGCACAGGTTGTTAGACTAGTGAGTGTCTTGATTGTACCTCGTCACTACTCCACCGAGGTTAGTCTTGATACTTACTGGGAATCGTTGTGGTGTCACGACCTCGGTTCGCCCTCCGTGAACCATCGTGACGGCACCTAGTCCCTACGACCAGGTAAGCCTAATAATGCGGAAAAATAAACTAATTTTCGAAAGAAAACAGATAAAACCCGAAATAGTGAATAAAACAGTGTTTAATAGTGCCGCTTGGCGTACACAATATCAACTCTCAAACACTAATACTTTTCCCAAAACCCGGAATCTCATGAAATCACAAGCTAAGAATACTACATAGTGCTCTAACTCCAGAATGTCTAAAACAAAGTAAATACAGGAGGGCTGTAACTACAAGAGAGAATGGAGAGAGACTCCTCGGTCTGTGGACGCGGCAGATATACCTCGAAGTCTCCGAAGGATCGCCTCGCCTCAAGGATGATGGGACTGAGTCGAAGTACCTGGATCTGCACATGAAAAACATGCGCAGAAAGGGCATGAGTACACCACAGCGGTACTCGGTAAGTGCCAAGCCTAACCTCGGTCGGGTAGTGACGAGGAAGGTCAGGGCCCTACTGAGATAAAATAAAAATATAAGGTATGACAGAATGAGATAAGCAGTACAGTTGAAAGCTAACAATAAGAATTCAATACAGGAAAATAAGGAACTCAATAACTGGAACAGAGGCAAAACAAACACACGGAAATACCACTCTTCACAAGGATAATAGCCGGGGATCTCTCAGTATCCCGAGGATCTCTTAGTACCCTCAATATACGCCAGGGATCTCTTGGTATCCCGAGGATCTCTCGGTATCCTCAACATGTGCCAGGGATCTCTTGGTATCCGAGGATCTCTTGGTATCCTCAATATACGTGCTAGGGATCTCTTGGTATCCCGCACCTCAGCTCAATAATGAATACATGTAGGGGATCTTCCGGGATGGCGTCCCGTAGTCCCAAAGTAAAACACGCAGCAACAACACAAGGAATACTCAATTAAGCTCAATTTAGTACCAAGTAAACAGGTGTGACGACCCGGCCGATCGTCTTAAGAATGTACGCCCCGATCCCCTATTAACTTCTTCCCCTAAGTTCATTTTTGCTATTTTGGTTTGCCGGGACGTTTGGCGTTGAGTTTCGGAGAGTTTTGGGACACTTAGTCCCTAAATGAGAGCTTAAGTGTGAAAAAGTGGTTCGTAGTCGGAACAGTGTGAAGCCGACCTCAGAATGGAAATCCGATGGTTCCGTTAGCTCCGTTAGGTGATTTCGGGGTTGGGAGCGTGTTTGGAATGTATTTTGGAAGTCCGTAGCTCATTTAGGCTTGAAATGCCGAAGGTTGAATTTTTGAAGTTTCCGGTCCGATAGTGAGTTTTTGATCCGAGGGCCGGAATGGAATTCCGGAAGTTGCAGTAGCTCCGTCGTGTCATTTGGGATGTGTGGGCAGGTCATTTGGACGTGTTTTAGTTAGGTTTTTGATCGAAAGCGTATTTTGATAAAAATTGAAGTTCTTAGGCTCAAATCCTTGTTTAATTCGAGTTTTAGGCGTTATTTTAGGTGGTTTAAGGATGGTACAAGTTTGAATGAGGTATTAGGTGTTATTGGTGCTTTTGTTTGAGGTCCCGGGGGCCTCGGGATGATTTCGGGTGGTTAACGGAGAAATTTTGAAGTGTTGCAGCAGCTGAAGTGTTCCTCTTCTGGTATTTTCGCATCTGCGGCATGGGAACCGCAGATGCGGCGCCGTAGAAGCGGCTAAGTGGACGCAGAAGCGGCTTTGCCCCTTTCCCTCAGAAACCACAGAAGCGGAGCAGCAGAAGCGGCTCAGGCATCGCAGATGCGGGCTCCTGTATCTCCTTAGTTTCCGCAGAAGCGGATATTCCCCCGCAGATGCAGTGTCGCATCTGCGACCCTTTTATCGCAGATGCGGTTCCTGACTTTTTTAATGAACCGCAGAAGCGGCTCTTGTTCCGCAGAAGCGGGACCGCAGAAGCGGTCCCTTGTCCGCAGAAGCGGAAATCCCTGAGCAGATATAGAAATTTCGAGGGTTAGATTTCATAAGTTAGAAAAATCAATTTGAGCTCGGGGAAGGGCGATTTTCAGAGGGTTTTGAAGAGAAGATTATTGGGTAACGTTTCTTTGATCCCTTCTAGTTATATTTTATCATTTTATAGTTAAATCCATCATTAAAATTCGAATTTGGGATAAAAAATTGGAAGAATTTGGGTAAAACTTCATAGGCTAAACCATTGAGTTTTGAGTGAGCATTTGACCTCCGTTTTGGGAGATTTTTATATGGTTAGACTCGTGAGAGTACGAGGGTTCTGAAAATGTAAAAATTATTCGATTCCGAGGCGTTGGCATGAAGGGCATTTTGGTCATTTCACCTAATTTCACGCCATAGCTTCGAATTTAATAGTAAAACCAGTTGGTTGCGATGTTATTCACAATATGTAATTGAGTTGAATAGATTTGGGCCATTTGGAGTCGGATACTCGTGGCAAAAGCGTGATTTCTAGTTGATTGTGAGCCGGTTCGAGGTAAGTGGTTTGTCTAACCTTATGTGGGGGACCTTTCCCCTTAGGTTTTGTTATTTGATATTTGAGTGCCTGGTACGCGAGGTGACGAGCGCGTACTTGAGCCAATTGTGGAAAACTCCGGTTTTTACTTAAGATATTGAGACTGAGCCTTCCTTCATATTTGCCTTA